GCAGGCACCCCTTCTGGTGCTGAAACAGTTTGTTGTATAGGGATACAGTAAGTTGGCACTACCTGTCATGCATTATGAACAAACGAGCCTTTTCTTAAAGTAATTTTCTCTTTTGCTATCTGAAACAGAAAATGAAACTCAAATCATTTTAAAAATTTTGTTTATCCCTTTTTGACATTGAGAGATGCTTTGTATTTTAATTTTAGTTTCAGTATTTTAAAACAAAAATCGAATAACCACTCGTTTCTTGTTTTTTAATGCTCGTTTTGAAAATGAAAATCCAATGACCAAAAGATACACTGACCRCCGCCCCAGGATTTTCAGTGATCAGTGATCACCTTGTAAAAACAAAACAAAACCAAAAGAGGCATCACCTGAACAAAGACCTACAACAACATCAAAATCCTGGTTAAGACTTTGTTTAAAGTGCTGATYTGGAGAGCAAAGCCAATTTATTAAACCAACAAAAGTAGATTAGAAGTTCCTCAAAATCTAATTTCAAATTACTAACTCAATCSTTTATTTCCAGTCATGAAAAACTTTCATTAGATCGGTAAATGGTGGATACAGTGAATATTTATACTTATTAGGAAACATTTTGTGTTTTTGCAGTGGTGTGAAATAAAACGTGAAATACATCAGCAAATTATGCTGCCTGAAAGCTTCCTGTTAAAGTCTGGTAGCGATTCTAAGTAAATTCACAGCTAAAACTCTGCCTGTTCTCAGAGTAGATTGTTTCCTCAGAATGGTAAAAGCTGTATATWTTTATGGTAACCCTACACAGTGTTTTTCAAGTTTGTGCCAAGTCCTTGGATGAGCATCAGCATTKAAATGAGAACTAATTATTATGTGTCCACTGAACTGCTTCAGAGCAGACATTTTCATTAAATAATTGATGCCTAAGCTTGGAGAGGTGGAGGTGGGTGGGACAGGATTATGGACCTGCAAATTAAAATGTACAGTTTTCTGCAGAAAAGACAAACAGATAAAAAGGGATTATTGATCACACATGTACTATTTGTAGGTAAAGGTAAAAAAAAAAATTGCACCACTCTTTCTCCACCGAATGACACAAAACGACATTTTGCACAACTTCTATTTTAAAAAATAGTCATCACTACAGTTTAACTTTGTTCCCTCAAAAAAATTGTAACATTTCACTTCTGAATGTCGTAATTAAATATGGAGTTTGCTGTAAGTCTTACGTATTGTGTTTGAAATTTGCAGCTAAGATCTGCTGAAACAGATGTTCCACTGCTGAAGACAAAAAACGCAAAGATGGAAAAATGAACAACAAAACTTTTTTTTTCTTGTAGACATAAAGGTCACAAGAGCAAAAGTGCAGTAGAGTTTCAGGTTGGTCCTGTTTATCACTATCAGTGAAGCTAGCTAATGAGCTTCCCTGAGCAAAAACAACAAAACAAAAAGATGAGTTTGACTCTAATCATCTTTACCRATGAACATCAAAACAAAAACGTTATTTTTATTCATATTTTTTCTACATTGATTGCAAGTATTTAATACACATCTCTCTATTTTGACTTATTTTTGACTATTAATTTGTGAAAATCTAAATGTAGTGTTGAATATGTGGTTTAAGCATTGTTCGTATTAATTTTTAACTCTGATCAAACTTTATGTAAGTGATACTCTGTACTACACATTCAGTTCTCCAAAGCACAACTACTGTAGATAAAGTTGTCAACTTTCTAAAATGCTAATTAAGGATAAAAAAAGATGAATTAAAAACATATGTGTTTTTTCCTGCTCTGTAGCTAAATTACCCACTTAGAAAAATTTGCCAGGCCAAGTTCTGGCCCACACAATACACTTGGTCCAGATACTGCGAAGAATGACAGCACTATGGTGGCCCAGATGTGGCAGAGGTGTAACTACCAGCACCACATAAACAACCAGACAGTTGTGACATTGACCGATTTGGGCCACATAATCTAAACTGCAACCTGTGTCATTCAGATTTGTAAAATTCTGCAATATTTATATATATTAGGGCTGTGAAATTAATCGAGTTAACTCTGATTAATTTTAGTGCTGCATGGGCATAGATTAAAATTTTTTAATCGCGATTAAAATTTACAATCACTTTACTATGGCTGAATTAATATGTAGGTTTGTATATCGCAATGCACTCAGTGAATGCCAGGTCATGTTTGTAAAGGAGAAGTGGTTCTTAAACAGTTTAAATAATATAAAAATACTTCATGTGGAACACATTATGTACAGTTTTTTGTCTTCTTATGGCTTATTTTATTTTATTTATTTAATAAATAAATAATACT